TGACAATTAAAATTTTTGATTTGTGATTTCGAAATAATTCGTGATCTATAAAATTTTTGATTTGTGATTCCAAAAATAATCTTTGACCAATTAATTATGTACATGTGACCATTAATTGTATAATTATGACATTATTATATTTAATTAATTAAATCATAATTCATTAATTCATTAATTAAATCACAATAAAATTTAATAAAAAACTGATGTTTGAAATTCCAAACTTGTTCTCTTAATTTTGAAATAGGGAATACTTATCATCTTACTTGTGAATTTTTCCCTTTAATAAAAGGCAGAAAGTGGATCTGGGCTGAGCATTTTATGCAAGAGGATGAAAAGTGTTCAATAGTTGTGTGTTTGAGGTGAATGTATACGGTTTATATCACAATTTGCCATACGAATTGTAAAATTCATATATTCAGATGAATTAATTACATAACAATTCAAACAACAGTAAGGCCAAAGAAGAGAATTATGCGGCAAATATCACAGCCCAAACCAGTCTTGTCTAGACAATATCCCCATAATCCCTCCTCTTTTTCTTCTCTCTTCACAATTTCCAACAAAAAAAGATAGAATCTTTATATTGTAATTACAAGAAGTTCATATAAAAACAGAGCGGGTTCCTGAATATATGCCAAAAGTTGCTTAGTTTGGAAGCAAAACAAAAAGGGTTTCTTGATTGAAGAAAGTGGAAATCTTGGTTTGATTTTTCAGTTCTTTTTTAATGTGCGTACAACAAGAAGACCTGTTGAAAGCCAAATGGTGAAAAAGCTATTAGCAAGCTATGTAATTCTTATTTTCTTTTGAATCCTTCAACGTTTTGCTCGAGTGAAAAGCAGTCGTCGCTCTAAGTTATATATTGTATGGCATCATCGAAATTAGTGTTATAGTACTAGAACATTGTCGATCAAATATTTTATGGGACTAACAAACTTCAACCATTCATCCCTAATAACGTTGGGGTCAAATTAGTTCAGTCTTTTTGTCTTTTGTGGTCAAAATTCTTGGAAAAGACCTTGCAAAAGTTCATAAAAGAGAGCTACGTCTTCTTTTTAACATCAACAAAGATAAAGGCAAACTCGTCTTTTGCATCACTTTAATGCACATTTTGAGCTGTTTTTGAAGTATGAGGATCTTGTCTGCAAATAAATGAAACGTTAGGAATAGAAGTGCAAAGTCTTGTAAACATAAAGGAGGATATTGCAAAAATTTATTTGATTTTAGAAGGTGAAAAGGCAATTAACATTAAAAAGGGGTTGGGGGACAATCCCCTTCACTTTTATCACAGTTAACGCAAAAATTGTTTGATTCTACAAAAGAAAAATTAGAG